TGGGAAACTGCACCTCAAACTGCTCAAAGCAAAACTTGTGACACTTGTGTATGTTAAGAGGTGTGTGTAGGTTGTAGCTGTGTTGGTCTAAGGACATAGGCAGACAAGGTTCTTTGAGTTAATCTGATATCTTTTATTAGACCACCTGAGTAGTTGGATAAATATATCTTAGCAAGGTTTTGGGTTTAAAAACTTTTCCTCACGCAAAAGTTCCCCGGATTGAAACTGGGCAGAAACAGACTGCTGATGGGTCGTACGTTCACGGTCCCGCACTATACCCTGAGGGACCTTTTGGCACCTACATCTGGAAAACACCACCCCTTGAGCACAGCCATCCTTCAGGGAGCAGCTTCTTGCCCTTTTAGCCCATTAGCCTCAGGTGGTAGAGCTGGAGTCTGACTCTTTTAAAGGTTGTAGGTTTGAACCCTGCCTCTGGCAATGCTTTGCTTCTTTCACTTTGCTGAACAAGACCTCTTACATTTCTTGTATCCCAAGAACCCATTAAATCTCTAATCCTGGCTCCATGGGTTGGGTTGGGTTGGGTTGGGTTGGGTTGGGGGCGGGGGAAGAGAGAGAGATCGGTTGGACACAATGTTTATATATGCAGTGGTATTTATTTTAAAATTGCAGAAAAATGCAGACTTTGAGGTTTTTAATCAGAGCATTTTGGATTTTTTTAATAGATCCCTGATACTAATTTAGTGCTTCTTGGTAGTTTTCATTATGTAACTAAACTAATTAATTGTGAAGAAGCAACCAAGTGGCTTTTTGTATGGCTGTTATTTTATTATTCCTTAAGAACAGATTTATTTATTAAAATGAAAAAAATTGCTGTTAACTTTGAGACAAAAATCACAAAAACAAGATTATTTGGAAGCAAGTCTATTCCTAAACTCCTCCCTACTAGTTTTTAACCAGTTCTGTTAATTTTTACCTTGATAGGTTCCAGTTTACATAAGAGTAGGAGACGATTAAGTAAAATTTTAGTCATATGAGAAATAGTGATTTGCAGAAACCTACTGGCATCTTTTCTAATTGTTCCTTTGCTTTGTAAGAAAAAAAAAGCTACCTTTATATTGAAACTCTTGCTCTTTCTTTCTTTAACTATAGTAAGTTTTTGTTTTACAAACAACTTCAGTTTCTTTGCCACACACTGTCTGCAGAAGGTGCAAAAACTAACCAATCACATTTTAATGGTTTGTCTACATGGTAAATGGAATTCATAATTATATTGTAATTCACAGTCAGTTATTTCAAGTCTGTTTGTGGACAATCATACTGTGTTTTTATGATGATTTAATTATGCCATTAAGGAGCTGACAAGTTGCAGGGATATAAAGGCTTACATGCCAAATAAAAATGTACAAACACAGAAGAAAGCCAAAATAATTAAGGTACAAATTCCAAACAATTAGGTTATTTCAGTTCATTTATCATGTAGACATATCTTTTTACTAATAGAGCTCAACAAATTGCAAAATATATTTTCTTGGTCTTGTCTAATTCTACTGGCATACGTTTTCATTGAAAGCCCAATATTTGTGAAAGCCAACTTTAACATATACATGAATATCTATAAAAAATGTTTGTGTACACTGCCTATCAAGAAACAAAAAAATACCATGCAATTTATCTTACTAAAACCATGGCTTATCAAAGATCCCAGGACCAAAATTGAAGACAACTACAGAAAAACATTTTAAATCTATCAGTATAATTATTTTTAATTTGCTAACAAAACCACCCAAAAGCTTTTAAATGGAAAGCCATGTTAGAGAAAGTTATAGTATTCTTATACACCTTTTAGAAGCAGGAAAAAGGGGGCTAAATTTCTTGGACAAAATTATTCATTATTTGATATGAATCAGTTAGCTACACTTCAAGAAAATATTCATAATGATTTGATATCTGTTGCTTCAGCAAAAAAGTAATGCAGAGACAGAGCATTAATTTAAACCAAGATTTTGCACCTCTCTATTATTTTACATGGCAGATTTTCCACATTTTGCAAAAAAGGCCTCTGTTGAATTAGAAAATAACCTGATAAGATCACTTTAGGTTATTTTAAACCTAAAATAATTAATAAAAAGGCTATCTTATTCTCCAAATTTATGCTCTTAATATTTTTTTTAGTCCATTTGATTTTTATTTAGCATTATAAGCTGGTCAGCATACAGAGATATACTGCTGTAATGTTCCAGCTGTATACAGGGAATACTGGTCTAAAAATATTTCAATTTCAAATTAAAAACAAACAAACAAACAGAGAAATATGCCTGTTTGCTTTAAGTTAGTGTTCAAAACTCCTATTTTGGGAATACATTTAACCTATGCCATTTTAAGGATTCCTGTTTGAATAAAGACGACAACATTTCCTGACTTCTGGGTATATTTCTTCTATTACACCTAAAGGACATGTATTTACCAAAGAAGTGTTATACAGACACATATTGACTACAGCAAGACAACAAGCTATACTTTCCATATTCAGCTTAGAACTCACTATGTGGATATTACCTAACTGTGAATATATAATTCTTCTAATGACTGCTTTATACCTAAAAATATCCCTGTTGCATGCTGCAATTACATTCCTCAACTGGAAACATCTGCTTTCTACATTTTCTTCTTGAGCACACAAGGTCCAGCCTCACCAAAATGCTATTCAGCTGCACTAAAATTCAAATATGATCCAAGTAATTAGAAAGCTACAGAGGTAAAACAATTAGCGGTAAAATAATAATGATAATCACCTCATTAGCCCTTCAGTGACCAGTGCCCAAGAAAAAGACAAAATGGACAAAAAATAAGGTCCTTATTCTCAGAGTTCATTCTTCTAAACTAGCAAAAGGGTCTGACTTGTCCACAGCAAATAATAACCTTTTTTCTGCCATTTAGACGCAGAAAGGGAAATAAAGGTCCACCCCAACAGCTTACTGAACATATCCTCCTTGTAATGTACATCCCAAGCAGTTGGGTTGCAGTCTACAAAGTTAATGTGGGACTGAAATAGGAAATTTCCCAGTTTCTTCCCTAGGACATGTCTACATGAGATGTTTACTGTGGAGTTACTTAATTAGCTCTGCAGTAAATGTCTCGGTATCTACATATGCGGCCCTATTAGGGTGCAGGAAGCTAATAAACTCCGCAGCAGGTTAGTACTTATAAATACAAGTACTTCCCTGCTGTGGAGTTTTTTTGGGTGTAGCAATGCACTTGTAGATGCTGACCCAGGTGGCTGGGGCACGAGGGTGCTTCAGTGAAGCGGCTGCCTGCTAGCTAACCCCACACTAGAGCACCCTCATGCCCCAAACCAATCCTTCTGTAGCATGTTGTGCTGGGTCAGAGGAGCCCCAGGCTAGCAGACTAATTCCCCCAGGTCCTCTGACACTCAGGGCTGCTCCAACCCAGTTCAATGTGCTGTGGTCCCAGGTGCACATGTAAACACAGCACCCAGGAGCAATAAACTCTGATATGATATGTGCCGGAGTTTCTTGATGCACATTATGTGTATGTGTAAATGCACCCCTAAAAAACTTTCCAGGAGAGGGAACATTCTGGCCTGCAGCGGCCTTCTCCCTCCTGCTCTTTGCATCTTCCCAAAACTATGTTACCCACCCTAGTCTAGGAAAGCACAGCAGCATTTGCTGTTCCTCTCCTCCTGGTCTCCAGGGCAGGGAGGGAGCAGTGGAGCAATGCCTCTGAATGTTCCCCAAGTTATGGTGTTCCTAGTCATGAAGGAGTCAAGCGTACATGTTCATTGTACCAACAGAAACTGTCTCACAGAGAAGATCTTCCAGATGTTAACCTGAAAGATCTCTCTCCTAGAGGGCATATTTCCTCAGAGATAAACTGAATGAATGCCTGTATGCTACCAATTTCTAACAGAAGAGCAGCACCTGCACTGCTGTGTTCTCTTTCAGTTTCAAATTAGAGAGAGATGCCTGCAGTGCAGGTGATTTTTACAATGTCATGCATCTAAATAAGGAACATCACCACAGCAGCAACATCAATGCAGCTATACTGGGTGTAGGGGCAGATGGGGGAGGGAGCGTTAAAGAAGGACTGAGCTGTCAAAAATGGAATTTTAGCCTTTTTTCGTGCTTCAGGGCCAAATCCTAGTGTAGACCCAGTTTAATCTGGTACAGCATGAACTGCACCGATGTTGTTTGTCACAGATGGGACCATGTCTACAGGTTTACACTCGTACAACTAGACTAGTAGCTGAAGTATCAATGTAAATAGGCCCTAGTTTTATTCCTCAAATCTGTTACATGGCTGGTACTTCCAGGAAACTATACTTCTTCCTTCTACCTCTTCCAGAATCCTAGCATTTAAGCAAATGGGAGGAAGGTAAGATGCACATTTTGGCTAGTGACCTAGAATATAGGCAAGGGCAAAAATTATGTCCTCATGCAGGGGTTGGCAACATTTTTGAGCAGTGCGCCAAAAATACCTGCAACTTTGACTTGTAAGATATTGGAGTGCCAGGGACAGATGGTGGGGAAGCAGCAAGGGGCCCAATCCTTGTTGTGGCAGCGCAGTCCTGGCCCCTTCCCTGAGGTGCACATGCCAAGCAAAATGGCATGCATGCCAGGGGTTGTCTACTAGTACTATATTCCCTATCAATAAGCTGTCACAATGCAACTTATTAGTATGCTCCTTCTGCAACACAAGCATAGCAAAATGACTGTAGCTTTAACCTTGTTTCATTCAATTGTATTTCTATACTACTTAACTCACTTGTATCGCCACAGTTCACAGATGTAACAGTTGCATCATAAAAGCTGATACAAAGTCCCAAGTTGAAGCATCACCTCTCATTTTAAAGTGATTGAAAGTTACGCCTGTCTGTATCATATCTGATGACTTTATAGCCAATTGAGTTTGGCACATTTGATCCTTATACCACATGTATTCATAGGAGAACTATCCTACCTTCCAAAAGCCATTTAATGCAAAAGTTACTAAAACTGAACGTCATATTTCTTTATACTCACCTACGCAGTTATCACAAAGGCTGCAATGTGAGGCACGAGGTGGGCGGAAAATCTTGCAAGTGAAACAGTATTTTAGTTTCACTGTCTGTCCATTGATGATTACTTCTTTTGTTCTGGGAGGTGGACGGTATCCTCCTGAACTGGAACCATTTGCAATATCTAAGCACAGAAATAATACAGCATTTTAATTTGCTTTTAGCAGACATGGTGCAGCACTTTTCCATCATTTTGAATCCAGTTTCTTTATATGGTTATATTTTTATGAATTTATAACACCTTTCACCTCTCTCAGATGAAGTACCTTGGCATGAATTTCATGAACAGCCAAATGATTCAACACAAAACAGTCATAAAAAAATTAGCAACCTCATACCTTGTACCACAAAAAGCAAAATCCCACACTCCTGAGCCAATCCAGGAGACACACCCAGGCACATGTTCTAGAATACCTGAATGACAGATGAGATTACTGAAACAGGGTAAATTAAAATTTGTTCAAATCACAGCTGGCCCTTTGGCCTTTGACAAAAGCTTGTGCTTCAAAAGCTTTCTGCGTTGTACACATCAAATTCATAAAGAACTCAACTGGGCTTCTCCTCTTTCCTCCCCTGCAATCCTTTAATTTAAAAATGACTCCCTATCTGCCGTTCTAAAAGTGTTTTTAGAAATACTTTTTATTTTAAAATAAATTATTTAATGAAACAAACAAAACAAAAACATACAAAAAATGAAGAAATGCAGCATGCAGGTCAAGTGAGATATGCAGTGCCCATCACCATTATGTCATTTAGAGCACTTGCCACAGCAAAAGGAAATAAAATCACTCTTTGTTCCAAGACCCTTGGCATGCCATGATACAATGGAGTACATTCAGCATAGCATTTCATTTAGCCTGCTTTTTGTGAGTTTAAAAATCAAACCCTTAGTGTTATATGAATGCATCTCTTGTGGGTTAAGAAACTGATTACTGTAAAAGTCCCTGCTTTCCTTATCTGGTAAAGTGATAACAGATTATTTTAGGACGTAAAAATGCTAATGTCCAGCAGCTAAGGACTGGCTAGATTAATAATTCAAGTTCAGTTTTGTACTTTAACTGCTTCTGAAGTGAAGCTGTACCCTGAAAACAATTCCCTGGCACTCAGCTTATCTGCTCCTGTTATGTATTCAGAATCAAATCTGGTTACTTTAGTGACAAAAAGCTTTTATCACCGTCAACCAAGCAGAACCAAAAAAACTACAGGGAAACTACACGGAAAATTAAACAGATTACTTTCTGATTTCTATATCATGAGCAGAATTAAGTTCCAGTCTCATACAGCCATGTATACAACCAGGCTCTCTTCAATTTATGCTGCTCCTTACATCTTGGATGAGCATGATCAGCTAAAAAACCATGGTATTAACAATAATAACAAAAAGACTATGACTTGTTTATAGCTTAGTTAAAAGTGTCACCAACTTGCTATGCACTTACTGAGCAGAGTTACAAGTATTTATACGGACCCAAACAAACTAAGGTTTGGAAGCCACTTCTCAAGATCGCAAAAACTATAGTTACTATAATACTTGCATCTTCAGCTAAATAGACAGGTTTACAACTAAAGTGAACAAATACAGTATGGCTATTTTCAAACTAATTTATTTTCCAACAGAACTAATAATTTTGTCTTGCTTTAATACCGATGACATTCTCATTTTGTTTTATTCTTAAAGAAAAGTATTTAAAACTGTAACATATTTTTACATTGTGTGGGCTTTTCTCCCCTCCTGACTGGCAACTAACATGTCTCACTGAAGCTGAGTTCACCAGTGGAAGGCAGTGGAAGTGGTCTTTAAATCACTAACACTTTTTTAGAAGATTTGACAGCACAGAACAGGTTAATTTCTCAATTATGAATGTAGAAAAATGTGCAAGTTCAAGAGTTTTGGCAGAAGACAGAATTCAAGAAGTGTGAGACATTCAATTACTTGGGCTGATAAGGGGAATAATATCTTATTTGCTCACATATAATTATTGCTATTGCTGAATCAATAACAATGAAACATTCTCACAAAGTAGCATAAGCAGTGATTTACTTGAGACCAAATAAGCTTATTTACAGAAGAAAAAATGACAGCGAGGAATACTTTTGGTTGTAAAAGGTATAGTGTTTATTTTAATTACTAATATTGAGAGAATTCAATATATTTTATTGTACTATACTTTTGAGTGACATTACTAGCAATATGCTTGCACAATAGTGTATTGATAGAGAAGCAAAGTTGTCCTTGGTAGAACTCCATTTAAGTTGATGTACCTATGAACAGAGACAAGTCTGGCTTTCAGTGTCAAGATAGGCTGATAAATCAGACTGGTAGAGAATGTATTAGCCCTAATTTGGCTCTAATACAATTTAAGCACTTGCTGGACTGTAAGCACAAGAACAGTCCTATTCTTCAGTGGGACTATTAACTTGCTTAAAATAAAGCACAGAAGTATTAAAGCCCCAAGTGAGTAACACACTTAACTGACCCTTCTGGAACACCTCAATCATTTACTCAACTTACGGATTTCATTCCCAAATATGACACTAAAAAAAAAATGAAGACTTCCCTTTTTCAAAAACTGACTACTGTGTAACAGAATAATCATTGCAGAAACTGTAGGCTATTATTGTGAATTATTTGGAAAAAAGGTATCTGAATAATATTTTTAAATATGACATTTTAAAAAAATGTTTCCCCTCCTGTGATTAGTTGTTACTGTTATTTTTAAATATGTCCTGACAGTGTGCAGCTGAGGCAGCTGCTGTCTGACTAGTCTGGGAGAACTTGGGTGCTGATAATACACTTCCCTTGGGGAAAGAAGTGTGCCTATGTTCAAGTTCAGAGGGACAGCCAATCCCAGCCCTCTAACTGGGAAAAATGCATCTTCAAATCCAAGGGTGAAACCCTAATGCCACTGAAATCAATGAAAAAAATCTTCTGGACTTCAGAAAGAACAGTAGTTTGTCTCAGTTAAGTTCCAAAATTCACCTTCTTGTAATGTATTAAATCAAATTCTCTAGAAACTAGTAACAATAAGGCAGGGTTAAACCTTGACTGAATTTAATCAAACTTATCTGAGATAACACTGAACGGGATTTGTCCTCAGTTGTGACTAGCAACATATCATTTGAGCTGACCCTACTGACCCATCTTCAAATGCAAGAAAGTGTTCTAATGTAGACAAGCTCTTAAAAGAAATAAACCTTTACTGTCACTTTACACAACTAAGCCCATCTGAAATCAGCTGTATTTTCTACTGTAGATAAGTGTTTTCAGTGCTATAATAAATCACATTTTATGGAATAGGCAGACTTCTTCCCTGATGCCCTCCGGGATTTTGTACTCATTTTCTAGGAACATTTTAACTATAGTGCAAAGTGGTGCTCAGGCAATTTTATTACCCTGTTTGGAAAAGTCCCTCTAGGACTTAACACACTTGCACTGTTACAGGAAAGCAGATGCAGTTTTCTAATGAGGACAGAGTAGTCCAGCTGCCTCCACAAAATGCCAACACCTTGCATATTAGTTTTACATATAGCGTGTAAATTCTTCCAAGTAATTTAAAACTGTTTTAAAATCAGTCAAAGCTGCAATGTAGGCAGAACCCCAATGGCTGGAACATTTTTATTTTTATATAATCAGCTGACTGAAAACTACTTTCAGGGGATTTCACGAGGCCTATTCATAATAGCACTCCTTGTCTTACCCACTCAGTGACTCCAGGCATTTTGATTTTCTTTGTCAGCTTCTTCAAATTAGCCAAGACTCTATTGGACAATGCTCTTAGGTCCTCTCTGCACAGTGGCTTTTAATGAGGGACTTTCTGTATAACATGGTGGTTAAAATAAGAACTGAACACCCACTGCGTTAAGCAGATAAGTACAATTCTAAGAGAACCATGTCTGACAAGAGCACTGGTCATCATGCAAACCGTATCAGGCATGAGGCCTTCCATAAGCAGATCAGCTCCTCATTATTCAGCATTTATAACTTTGAATATTAGCAGCTATTTAAGTATATAACTATCTCTCACCATCTCTAGATACATAAAACATAAGCACTAAGCACATAATACCTAGAAATACTTGGTTTCTGCTAGTGCTGTTTTACTATGTCCTGCTTTGTCTTAGGATTGTGGATTCAACACGGGCATGGAATTTCCTTCCCCTTCTCCCTGCAAACAGCCTTAAATGCTCATAAAAATAAAAGTTTTGCTTGGGGAAATGTGCAGGGGTGAAAGCCTGATCCCATTAAAAGACCATGTTGCAGCAATTTTGCCATCAATTTCAAAAGGGACTAAGATAACGAAATATAATACAATGAAGATATAATGACAAAGCAATTAATTTGTTGGTTTATTTTTTTCTACTGCAGTAAAAGTCTTGTGCAACCAGAATTCTTCATGAACGACCTTTAGCATCTGTAAGAGCATTAAACTAAATAATATGTAATGCTGAACCTATGACACTAAGGAAGGTCATCTCTTTGCGTAATCATTTAAGTCATGCCGCATGCTTAATTATAAACACTAGTCTAAGAGAAGAAAAACAGTATCCAGATAGCCAGGAACCTATACCAGAGATGAACTACTTTGTTTACAGTCACTAATCTCAGAGGCCAATGCAGCATCCTACTTTAACAAAACACTGAGGATGTGATTTAAACACTAAACTAGTGCTGTTTACTACGTTCCACTCTTAACTCTTAATCTGGTGTCTATCATGGGTTACTGCCTTAGAAGATTATACTAATAATGCTAAGAACAGGGGTGCTCAACCCCCAGCCTGCAGGCCAGATCCAGCCCATGGGACTCCTCATAGGTCTGGAAATCTGGCAGCAGAATGGTGGCTCTGATCCCCCACTGTCAAACTGCTGGGTCCTGCATGCAGTGGGGAGCCCTGGGTCCTGCATGCTGGTTCAGGTGCACAGTCCCTGTGCACAGGGCTAGTCAGGGATATTGCCAGGCCCCAGGGCCTGATCCCAGTGTGGGGGGCTGGGAGAGGGTGGCACCTGTCCCGAAACACAACCCTGGCTTGCTGGGGCAGGAGGGGGTGGAGCCAAGTCCCCAGGGACCAATCCCTGCAGAAGGGTGCAGCATGGGACCAATCTTGGCATGCAGGGGTGGGAGGAGA